GAAGGCAGTAGAGGAGTTATTTCGGGACACAGCAGCCTAGAGGCTCTCTGGAGCTTTTTGATAATCTGGGTGTATGCTAATGATAGTGAGTTAGGCGTGCAGAGCAAGCTAGCTGTTTCTGACTTTCAACGCAAGAAGTCACAAACTTCAGAGGCCCAGACACTAACACTGAAATTGCTAAGCAACATGCAGAGGGACACATTTAATTAGACTGTCCTCTTGCCTGTGAGAAATTGGCATTGGGGAAGGCCTTTCCCATTTCCTCTAGCATCTCGTTCAGGGGGAGTGCAGCTTCCCAGTCAGTCCTGGCATCCAGAGCCAGCTGGCAGCTCAGAGGATGGACTGAAGCACTGGTGCCCACTGATTTCATTCATCCTGCTCTTATCTGCAGCCTTTGTTGTCCTCTGCTCTCAAATAGCACAGGAGATATTATATTAAGTTTCTCCTGCAAAGGCTTGGGTCTTCACAGACACTGCCTGCTTGCCATGCACGAGCATGTAGTGACTTCCAGAGTCACCGTGTGACTATAGGCAAGCTAAAGGAAAGCCCAGCCAAGTCTAGTCCATATCTTTTAGCTTACCAGCTAAGATTCTGGTAATCACCAGGTGCTAAAATGGAAGATAGACTTCATTTCACTGATGGATGAACTTGCTTCTCCATACATTGGTTAATCACTTTCTTCACACACACCCATAGCATTTTGATTCAGACTAACTTCAAAGAAATCGTGCTTTACTACCGCATCTTGAATTAATGTAGTTGGAGCAAATTGAATGTGCTAGAACTGAAAGTGAAAACCAACCTCCTGTTTAAAACGTATTACTCATACCTTACGTAAAGGCTTCTTTATCCACCTAAACACAGGCCAATATATCAAAGTAACTTGGGACAAGCATGGTGCTGCCTCTGTTCACAACACAACTTCTGAGGTCCACGGGAACCTCAGTGGAAAAGAATCTGGACTTGACATCTACCCACTGACACTAAATATAACCTTCTAGTAAACATTAAAACTTCAAGGGATTTGTGGCTGACGATCATGTTGAACTCCAGGACATCCAGTGAGAGAGTATGGTGGAAAATATAAACATGAAATGTAGGGGGAGGGGAAGGGTTTGAAATCTGGTGACAAGAACAGCAAAGACATTGGTGACTAATGTTTTCTGCCTGGTTCAAAGGTTTGTTTGATTTATTCCTAAGGCTGAGATAGCTTCACTACTACTGTACCAAACACAAGAAACTATAGTTTGCTCTAGAACATTATGTTCTTACAGAGAACTTCATTCTAAACCACTGTACTCTGAGTGAGTGCATAAGGACAAAAGGCAGGTGCTGCTTCCTTGGCTGTACCATCTCGTTTCTTCTGCTTTAAATAGGATAATTAGTATCCTCTGCGCTATGTTTTTTGATGAGCCCTGAAATCTGGCTATACTTACCAGAAGGATTTCACATGGGGCACCAAACAGCTGGAAAATACTACCAGCTTTCAGTCCCTACCAGCATGGGCTGGATTTGACCTAATAGTAGTTGGAAGTCTCTGTATCCCTTTGCCACAGCATAAGCTCAGTAATCTCGTCTATCCTTCCTCTAAGCATGAAGAGCAAAGCCTTTAGCTTCTGGGCACAGTGTCAGACAAGGACAAGAAAGTTTCTGAAGCAGGTCATACGTTGCACCGTTCAAATATCTCTAGCACTATCATCAGTATCTTCTAGCCTGCAGAACTGTTCTTATCCTTCAATTCATCCCTAAATACCAGTTTGTCATATAGAACATGGAAGAAGTTCCACTCCATAGCAGAAGGGGGAGGTTTATCATTTCTTAGTAAACAAGTTTGGGAGTTATTGGGGTAGTTGCTGAAAGCACCTTGCATGTGTCTTTGGAGTGCTTTCACCACTGCTTGGTAAGGTGGATAGTTATCACCTTATGCATCTGACAGACGGGCAGACTGATGTGTACATGCTACGTAACTAGTTCAGGACCACTGGAAAACAGAGGAGAGCCAAACCTCTTGCTCTAAATCAGTAAAATCCATTACATGTTTTATAAAAAAAACCAAAACACTTGCCAGTCCTGGAAGTTGTAATTTGTTCTGTTAGCTCAACTCCCAGTGTCATATAGACTGTTTTCAAGCCTGTCACAATTTAAAGAGAGAAAAAAATTTAAGCACCTTAGAAAATGTTCTGTAAGAGTAATTTAAGCCTGTTTAAAACTCAGTCCAGAGACAGACCTGTTGCCACTGAGGAGGGAGAGTTGGCAGCTTTGCTTAAAGCTTCCAACACAGGCACTGGAGACTCAAAAATCCCAAAGAAGCTGTAGTCCCCGAGGGTCCTGCTGCTCCCAGGGCAAAGCCAGTCCTTTCTGAGCTTATCCTTTAGCTCTCACACACATGCATACTCTGTTTTCTCAGTGCCATTAGCTACGGCAATAACCACTCAAGCCTTACAGACATGGGGGAAAAAAAAAAACCAGGAAATAAAGAGTTAAAAAAAAAAAGGAGGGAAAAGCCAACAAAACAACCCACCAAAAAAGGCAGAGAACTTGGAGGCAAGCCAGTGTCCCCGAATGACTCGGCTCAGCCCAGCCCCGAGCGACACTCCCCGCCGGCCCTACCCTCCCTCCTCTCTCGCAGGGCGGGCATGCCCGGCCCTCCTCTTTATCAGAGGCAGGAGTTCCTCTTCTCGGTCTCTACTTGATTTGGAAGCCCAGAAATACTGCTGAATTTATTTTTCATTTTTAGGACAACGGCAAATGTCAGCAATAAGGCGGCAAGAGAACTGAAAATTAATGGTGACAATTGCCTACAAGCCGAGTGGAAGCACCTTTTCTTGCACAACTCCCAGGGAGGCAAAAGCAGTTACCCAGGGCAGGCTGCCTGAGGTGCCAGGCACATGCTGTTCTTTCAGCTGTGCAGCACAGGGAATTGTCCATCCAGATGCTCAGACTTGATGGGGCTTTCTTCTCTCCCAGAGAAATCAAAACATGCCCTCAATTTAGAAGGGCTCTTTATCTCAGGAAGGCAACAGGAAAAGCTGAAGGTACACCGAAGGTATAACCAATATGGGTGAGGCTGCCTCCTCTGAGCTAAAACTGTTCAAGGGTCACTAAATCATGTTTAGTTCTGATGACCTTTTTCTTAATGCTCTTTGTAAGTGAACTGACCACAGATCTTAGTAAACTAATTTGTTGCCTGAAATCGCTCAGTGGAACAGCTTGCCCGTGCCTGCTCTAGTCAGTGCGTGACGCCGTACGTGCTATGATCGGGGCCTTCGGCACAGATCCGTCTACTTGTTTTTCCATGCTCCCTGTCTGACTGGCAGCCACCTTGTTCCCCAGCACAAGGCAGAGGCACGAGGTCTGGCAAGGTGTGGGGCCAGTTTCAAAATGGCCTATCCTAACACTTTCAGTGCGTAACTTCCACAGTGCTTGCAAGTCTTCCACTTTTTCTATGTATGCCTCAAGAATTGCAATAGCAACAAAAAAGTGGTCAAGTAAGTCTTCACCAAAAAGTATACACTGAACACTTATCAGAACAAGATAGTGTTTGCATACAAATGTGGCTTTTTTTGTTTGGAAATGAGTTTTACCCAGCTGCCAAAAGCTTTTTTGAGACTGCGCATATCCCCCTCGCTCTACACTTATGATAAATATCTCCTTGTGACTCACATTCAGCTTCTCATCTGCCTTCCTGCCTACTCTAGCTTTCACACAAGTGTCTGCTAAAGAAAGAAACAGACACAGACTGTTTCAGGTACCTCTGGAACATTTAATTTTAAAACATCAAGAGTACTGATGCTTGCATGGGAAGTGATAAGCTGGTATAATGGTAGTGACAGGAACATGGGGTAGCAAAATGTAGATGGGGGAGGGTAAGAAGCACTGGAAAGGGAAGTAGAAGACACACCGAACAAGAAAGCTAGCAGCTAAAAATTACAGCTTGGTACGATCTACACAGACGACACGCATGCCATTCCCTGTGACATTAAGTAATACAAAAGGGGCAACGTTAGCTTTGAATCTATGCTCAGAAAGGGTTTATTCCCAGAGAGGGTTTTGTTGTTGTTTGGTTTTCCCAAGCTTGAGTTCTGAGAGGTAAAACCATAATGGTGGCCAAATACAAGTTTGGGTTTGGCTTTTGGTTTTTTTTCCACATTCATTTTAATTACCAAGCTATAAAAAATAAATCTCTGGCTGGATTGTAACTAACCTGTGTGGGTCCTTAGATGAGCTTTAAGATGGGAAGATTTGCCATAAACTTTTTCACACCCCACATAGTGGCATTTGTGCTTTTTCTGGGGTGATCCAGGGTCAGTCCAGCTTCTCGTGCGTTTGTTCTTTTGTCTGGGGCTTGGCTCAGTTACTGCAGCCAGGCTAGTAGGTGTGGCTGCTCTTCCTCCTCCACGCTTCCCAGCCGAAGACACACTTTCTTCCCCAAACTCCTTAGGAACCATAGAAATGTGTATTTGTTCTGTGATATCCAAGGTCTCAGTTTCTTCCATCCTTAGAGCGGGTGAGTTTGGGACATGCTGGTTCAGATCTGCTAAAATGCTAGCTACCACCAGCAATGTTGATCCATTGTCTTTCCCGGTTTCCCTGACTTCCCGCTTATCTTCTCCATTTGATGAAGGAGGTATTGCTGCATCAGGTTGGGGATCAGGCTCCCCTTTGGGACTATGGATAACGGCACGACTGGACATAGAAACAAGGCACTCTGCTGCAAAATGATCCACATATGCTGCTGTTGCCATTTTTTTTAAGTTTAAAAAGAAATCCAAACAGAAAAGGAAAAAATTGAAAAACAAACAAAAAAAACCCCACAACGCTGCTTTTCCCCTTTTTAAAAAGACTATGCAAGCAGACCTTTCCCTCTCTTATTTCTTAGGATCTCTTGATAGAAGTAAAGACTGATTTAGCAGCCATCAGAAACACACTTTGTTCGTGACGATCACACCCAGCTTGTCCCTAAATGAGAAAAACCAGCGTTGGAAGTCCAATGGTAGAGAAAAAGAAGAGCGGGTCGATCCCGGCACTGGCAGCTTGTTGCTTGGCGCATGAGTTAGTGCTGTCTTCCCGAGAGCGCGGCAGGACACGGCGGCGGAGC